AAGTATCTTCTATTATTAACATTCCCGATTCAAAAACTCACCTAAGTAGAAAATTTATAGTTTATGCTCAGGAGAAGGAATAATTAATCAAATATGTGACGTTGAGACCTTCGTACGTATCATATAATCGACTGTTTTTATTTTATAAGAAAAGAAAGTGTACCAATCAAGTTGGAATAAATTCCATTGGAAAAATGCTAAGCCAGATAGCTTTCTACATGGAATTATCAACTTCTAAAACCTACACAGGGCAGTGTTTTAGACGGACGTCAGCATCACTATTGGCACATGCCGGATGAGATTTTATGACTTTGAAACGCCACTGTCGATAGAAGTCGCTTGCTGCAGCTGAAGGTTATATGGTAAAAGAAGATTGGAATAGCGAAGTAAATCAGTGGAGTTGAAAAAAGGATTCAAGTTGACGAACCAACAACAGCAGGATACTCCTCTACTAAGACATCCTTTAGCGAATCTGTACCATAGGTATATTAAAATACAGAACGATACTAAATCGACTATAACAGTTCAATTAAAATGGATGAGTAGACATAAACGTTGACATGTTTAAAAACGTTTTATTTTCGGTCATTTTCTTGAAATAAAAAATTATTTTCGTTTTTTTTCCGGAAACTGTGGCTACAATCAAATAAATAAGCAGTAGTAATCTATATTATGCTAGTAAGCGGCAATACCCGTTGTAGTAGCGGAAATATGCTAAATTTGTGGTCAAGTCGTGCACCGCTCTATGCTCACAATACACAATGCTACCGACTACCATAAAAACATGCGTCATACACTTGACCAAGCAAAACGTCAAACTCACACGCACACGTACAAATGACAATTAATACACGGCCAACGTCTCTCAGCAAAAAAACCTGTATTGTTTGTTCACAGGCAGGCAGGGCAAGCATTAGAGTGCCGCTAGGTATGGATCGAATAAATTGATCGATGCTCAGCTTCAGATCAGAGGCAGACATGTTACATGTTATTGTACAATGACGCGAAAGTGGGATTACTAAAAAGTGAAGTAGTTGATGCTTCGCCACCATTTGTAAAAATAGCATCTATTAAACGGTAATTTTCGTGTTTGAAATGGGAAAATTTTGCGTGTTTTTTTTATCAATTCACGAGCGACAAATGTGATTACCGCTCGCAAATGAATAGAGTAGACAAACAGCTATTTACCGACTTAAAAAACAAGCGAAAAGGTAGGACTTCCTCATGAATAATAAAAAATTACATTACCGCAATTGAAATAGCGGGTGTAACTTTATTTACCGCACGGTTGTAGATAAAAGCTTTTACTGCACTTGAAACTATGTAAAAAAACTGTAATTTCTGACACGATCGTTGGTAAAGGATAATAATGTGTTGTGAAATTACCTATTTACACGTGAAAAATTAGGATGACGATGAATGCCGGCAGAATTCTTAAAAGCATTGCTTAAGGCGTAATAAAGAAATAAAATCCTAGATGTAGAAATATGGGATAAAAATTATTACTACAAGACTGATTACATTAACATTTTATTTGCAGGAGTGACAGTGCTGGTAGGATACTGTGAATAAATTGTGAAAGCTGGTTACATGAAATCCGTACAGGGTGTCCCACTTTGGGTGGAAAAACAAATACATGTATTTAACGCTTTTTTTGAACTGAATTTAGCACACAAATCCTGGCTAATTAATTTTATTGGCTTTCAATATGCGAAGGACTTTTTAAAATTTTCTCGAAGTTTTCTCTGCAGTATCTCTGTTGCTTTAAGCGATATTAAAAATTGTTTAAACGCTTATATCGATTTTGTTTTTATACAGGGCGATTCAAAACTTATCCAAAAAAATTTGGGAGTAGATGCGGCATGAGAAATGAAGTAAATATCTTAAAAAAAATTTTGATATATGTATAGTTTTCGAGAAAAAAATATTGAAATTGTAGTACATTCTACCTTTACATATCTGGACAACTGTAGTCTCTAGCGTCATTCGAACTGCCCTTATTGATTTTTTCTTTAAAAAATTGTATTTGTAAGAGTGTCCTGTACATCCAAATTTTTTTTTGGATAAGTTCTGAATCACCCTGTATAGAACGCAGTGCCGCACTCAGTTTTTTTGTAATCTCATATTTTCGGAGAATTGGCACTGAAACTTGCTATTTTTTAATAAACGCCATGTCAATATGTTTGATAGTAAGTTTAACTGTTTGGAGTTTTAGGGATATTTCATATAAAGATATACGTACAACTGTGGACAAAAAAGTTGCAAATCTAAAATGTTTAAGACTTTAAAGTATTAAACTATTAAGACTCCGTTCATAATTCTAATTTGTTGAAATTTACTTCTTTGTTATTATGATACCGGAATGTAATAAACATGTGCATAAAGTCCTGCAAAATTAGAAAACATGTAATCAAAAAAGGAATTGAATGTCAGTTTAAGAAGATATGGCGAAGGACCCATTTTTGAAGAATAAAATTTTTTTTATTTATTTACGCTTACAAGGTATTACGTATTATAAGCTTTTTTGCGATAGTCGTTTGTTCATTTTCCAGTTTGACCGGAAATTAATTTCATCAGTACTAATTGTTAGTTAACTTACTATTTTAGTTCAACCAAAAATAATTTTTAGTAGTGACCTCACATACGTCAAATAATAGGCAACCCCATTGTGCACATTATCATGAGGAATTTCCCAATATTTTTACTATATCGATTTTCAACCTTATGTACTTTGGACACAAGCGCCAAAAAAATGGCATCTTTTTCATGACTTTAAATATCGCGATATTCTGGCAATATTAGAAATATTTAGGACGTTTCAAACCCCAAGTGACAAACTAAAAGAATTATAGAATTTATGTATTTAAATTTATAGAACAATATTGACATTTATAGTAATTAATAAATTACAATTATTTCAGTGTTACTGAAGTTTGGTATTGGTTTAGAGTACCACTTGAAGAAAAAACACACTCGATAAACACACTGACATAGCACAACACCAAGAAAAACAATAAGAATACTTAGTAGAACTAAAAAAGGCCAAGATTAAACAAAAGAAGAGAAGATACGCTAATGATGACAGCGGTGACAACAAGATCTCACCTGCGTATGAGGCTATTTTTTCCGAGAATTACGGCAGCATTTTAAAAATATTTGGAAATATACAGGGTGTCTAGAAAAAGCGTACCATTTCAAAGTTATGTATTTTTAAAAGCACCGTAAAAAATAGGTGCACTTTTTTAAAGGTTCTGCATACCTATTTAGGACTTATTGTTTGTGATATATTTCAATTATAGTGAAAAATGCAGGCTTAGCAATAAAAAATAATTGTAAGGAAGCAGCTTTGGAGAATGTATTTTAGATCCTTGAAGTTATACATTATTATATTGGTCGTGACTTAGTATTGTACAGGGTGTTCAAAAAACTACTGGATACATTTCTCAACTTTAAACAGCAATAACTTAGTTTATTTAAATGGGACACCCAGTATATTTCTACTTTAGGAGTTAGGAAATTTAAAACTCTTTCAAACTATGTATAGTAGGGTGGCCCAACAAAAAATGAATATTATTTTTTTGTGTCTCATGTGAAAATATCCCCCTCAAAAAATCGGTTCAAAAAACATTTTTTAAAGGGCGCTCAAGATTTTAAAACATTTCCAACATCGTCAAAAATTGAACTTTTTTTCATAAATTTTTTTTCTCGTTATTTTATTATTTTCTAGGTTGAAAAAAATCTCGATTCTGAAAATTTCAAAACGATATTTTAATTTCTAAGAGTCACTCATAATAATTATTTCAACTTTAAAAGTAGCGTACCTAAAATGTTTTCGAGCGACCTCTAAAAATAAATATCAACGAACTAATACATTTTTTTTATTGAATTTGATGAACAAAATAATAGAAATAAATCATGAGTCACTTAAAAAATTTCTCGAGGCAAAATTTACTACCGCACTGTATCAAATATTTATAATTTTTTAATTTTTTAAAATTTAAGTGTCGTGATTTCTGTTCTTTTGTTCATCAAATTCAATAAAAAAAATTATTGGTTCGTTGATATTTATTTTTAGAGGTCGCTCGAAAACATAGGTACACTACTTTGAAAGTTAAAATAATTATGAGTGACCTTTAGAAATTGAAATATCGATTTGAAATTTTTAGAATCGAGATTTTTTTCAACCTAGAAAATGATAAAATAAAGAGAAAAAAAATTAAAAACAAAATTAAATTTTTGACGATTTTTGAAATTTTTAAAAATCTTGAGTGACCTCTAAAAAATTTTTTTTGAGCTGATTTTTTGAGAGGGCTCTTAGAACATGATAAAATAACATATTTTCACAAGAAACATGAAAAAAAATATATTCGTTTTTTTTTTGGGCCACCCTAAATTGTATAGGTTCCTATCCCTATCTCTAACGGTATTGGAGATATTTGTGCCGTTTCGTTTTTTATCGGACTTTCTGGTAATGAACAAAATTTGTAAGTGAAATTACTTTGTATATAAAGTATTATCCATTGCAACTAAATTATACGAGGTTGCTCAAAAATAAGTACCTGAAATTAATTTCCAGTCAAACCGGAAGTGAAACAAATGAATGACCGCCACCTAAAAAGTTTGTACTTAATGTAATTTTACATCATATTCTGTAAAATATACAGGTCGCTGATATCTTTTTAAATTGACATTCAATTGTTTTTCTGATTCTACAGGAGTTCTTACAAATATCTGCATTTCGCCTCATTCAAATACCATAATAGTAAATAAGTAAATGGCAACGCAAAAAATATGAATCACCTTGTACGTATCACAGCATTCATAAAAAAAATTGTAAAGGTTATTCTTATTTACTGTTAACAATCTACCACCAAATTCCTTGTACTATCATTGGAATGATGTAATATCCTGACCAAGCTTTATCAACACTTGTTATTCAATGAATGAAAGAAAAAATATAGATTTATTTTGAAATTAAAAAAACTATCAAATTTACATACCTTAACAAGTATTTTGTTTTGTTATCCAGTTATACCAAGTTTTCACTTGAGAATCATGCGATTAGCTTATCTTAATTGAGCATGTGAGTTTCATCAACTAGCCTGCATGATTCTTCAATTATATACGTCACAATCTTTGAACGTGTGGAATTGTGAATACAACCTTTGTCGGGAACAAACTTCAATTCAGCTTACGATTCAGTGCACTGAACAATGAATTGTTTGCCAAGATTAACGCTGAGTTGGAGTTTCCAAGGCTCGTTCATGGACAAAAAGGATTCCCCGCGTTCTTCGCAAACTTACCACAAACCGGGTAGCCCTGGAACCACTGCGACACATACGAATTCTCGAGTAATACTTATAAACAGAGCAGGCTGGCGTGAATAAAAAAAAAACAAAACGTTATCTATTAATCAAGTTGTAGTGGTGCGAAATGTTGATAAGATTAGATGGACATACTAGCACGCTGCCGGCTAACAATTAGAACAAAAACGCAGCGGATGAAATTACCCAATAGATAGATAGTGGCGTTTACAGTTCCAGTTTGCGGTATGCCAATGAGTAATGAGAGATTTATTATATTGTAAGTAGCTTGGGATTCACTTGTTTCCAGCAAACATGATTATTCATAATTTAGATGATAGGAGACAAAAAATCACAAGTATATGTGATTTATAAGGACTTTTCGAAGGCTTTCGATAGGATACATCACAAGGTTTTACTTTATAAACCGGCAAACTGTTGTTGCCGTAATGACTTTAATTATATTATTAAGTCCTACTTATATAATAGAATCTATTAATGCTACCACTTATGTAGCAACTTCTACACAACATCTGGAGTACCTTAGGGTTCTATACTTGTCCCTTTGCCGTTCGTTTTCTTCATTGATGATCTTAACGATGTAATCAGCTGTTGTAAATTGTTGCATGCAGATGACATAATAGTTATTTATGGTCCTAGTGTGTTATGGTACATACAAGTCACGCTGGGAAATGTATAGCTAATTTTCTAAAGTGACGTATATGACGTAACACACGAGTGCCATACATTTTATCCAACAGTTTCATAGAATTTCGTTTTAATAATAAATAACTTAAAATTTCAAGTTGTTAATGTCAGAAAAAGTAATTTAACGAAATGAATGTATTTTTAAATATGACAAAGGATGCGAGTGTTAACCTAAATTGTGTCTGTAACCAAGGGTTGTCAGTAAACAAACAATATTTTTTGAAATCACGTTGAAATCTTAAAACCAAGACTGAAAAAATAGAAAATGTGGAAATTCCATCTGAAATTTTAGAAAAAGCTAAATTGGCTACTGCAGGCATCATTCCGGAGAAATTAAAATCTATGCGCAACAAAGAACTGAAGGAATTTCAAGATTGAAAAATCATAGAAGGGGTGAAAGGCGTAAATGAAGCTGTCTTGCTGGCTTATTTTTTCAATTTAAATGAGAAATTAGCTCCATCCACATTGTGGACTAAATATTCCAAGTCAATTTTGAGAGTTTACAAGAACATTGAAATTTCTAAATTCGGAAGACTAGTGGCATTTCTAAAGTTGAAGCACAAACATTTTCAACCAAAAGAATCCAAGTCTTAGAAAGAGAACAAATCGAACAATTTTTGCGTGAAGACCAGACGAAGATCATCTTATGAATAAGGTAGGTTCTACTATTAAATTTGTTGTTTTTAGGTGGCGTTGATATTAGGAGTTTCTTCGCTTGCCGTTGTGAGGAATTGGCCCATCTAAGCATAGATAATATAGAGGACAAAGGGCAGTATATCCATATCACGATTTCAATTTCAAATACTAAAACGAACAAACCAAGAAGCTTCGCTGTGTTAAATGAAAAATTTTGTGTTAATCCAATTGAATTAATTATAAAATATTCTTCGAAATGTGCAGCATAAGAGGTTCTTTTGCAATTTTCAAAAGGGAAAATAGACAGGTCAATGTGTTGGTATTAATAAGCTAACAAAAATCCCTAATGTTGTTGCGTGATTTTTGGGCTTGACAGATTATAATTTATATACAGGGCATGACTTGTGTCGAGCATCTGCAACTCTCTTGGCCAATACTGGAAGGGATATTACAACACTCACTGGTTATATAGAAGAATCAATTTCCAGCAAAATTGATATTGCTAAAAAGATACAAGGGTGCAGACTCCTGAAACAAGCACAAGCAAAGGGGCAACCTGTTCCTTAAATTTACTACAATCACAAAATAATTCCAATAATCCTTTGGCATCAAATTACGGCTTTACCATAAATGTTAATGATAATATTAATAAGTAGGAAGATTGTAAGTTTGTAGCATTTTAGGTTATTTGTTGACTTATTTCTGTTTCAAATTGGTTTTCTATTAAAAACTAGAAAAATAAACCAAACATTTGTCTTTTTATGATTTCTATAAGTCACTAGTGGGTTATAAGCAGTGGCGGCCCGTGGATTTGAATACAGGGGGGCGCATTTTGAAAAGAGGACGCACGTCATAAGAGTTACGGGGGGTGTGGGGAGCGGCAGCCCCCCGCTTAGCGCCGCAGCGGGAGGGAAAAAACTCACCAACTTATTTTTGTGTTTAGGAGAATTTTCATGTTTCTTAATTTTAATTTCTAAATGTTTCAAGTCAGAAACTCCAGTTTTCGTCCAGTTTTCTTCGCCTCCTCCAAACAATAAACATACAAAACAAAAAAATCTATTTGTTTGGTCACAACCACACAACCACAGGGTCTTATCATAAATGTTTTTATCAAATTTGCGAAAGCCGGCCCACTTTTTGCACTCTTTCTGCACCTCAACTAAATTCAACACTGGTGTTGGACGTCCGTTATTTTTCAATTCGACTTTTTCCTCTAAACTTAAATTACTAATTACAAGTTTTTTTATTTCACAAACCCTCATTTTAAACTTAAACTTATAAAATATAATGTCTTAAAAAGCGCCAAAGCAAAAACAAAACACATATAACCACACTTCAGTGATACGGGTTACTGCCTCATGGAGTCCCAAAACAAAGCGCGCGAGCCTATCGTCGCCTATCCCCCTCCACGTGCCAATTTGTCCAATCATATGTAAAAATATGCTTGCACGATGGACTCAGATTTCACGATCCGCGATGGAGTGGGGATTGCGCGCGATGTTAAACATAACTCTTTGGTACGATCGTAGATGGCAGATGGCATTAATCTGAGCTACGTTCACGGAGTACATGCACTTTATGCAACCAACCTAACATCCAAGAGATATTGAATGCATACTATTTAGATTTCTTATTGATTTAAATAAATACATGATTTTAAGTTTATAGTTTGAAAATATCTGGGAGGGCGGAGTCCCAGAGTCCTCCTTCACGAGCCGGCACTGGTTATAAGTCATAACTTACTAGTGACTTATGACTTATAACTCACCAATGACTTATAGACCACATTATTCCTTTAAAGCCGAAGAAATTATAGTATCATTATACAGGGTGATTCATTAACAATGGGAAAATCGAAAGCTGAAGATACTACACGTAAAATGGTAACCATTGGCGTAAACATGCATTATTCGAAAGTTGAAAGTTTCAGAAATACAGGGTGTTGAAAGTTAAAATTTTATATCGTTTTTTTGCGATTATTATGAAAATATGTAGGTTAGGAACTTGAAAATGTGTATAACTATATTTTTTTAAGTGACGAATAAGATGCGTGTTGCAATTTCAGCATTGCTCATAGAGGACGCCACTTACGACAAATTTTACCGAAAATTTAGTTAATAACTTTTTACCCTGTATGTCTAACGTGAAACTTGATTCAAAACCTGAAAGAGCAATCATTTTTCCATTAATTATGTACTCTTGTTTCATTTCGGCATCTCGATCCGTTTTCGAGAAAAATCGGTTTAACGAATACTGTTTCGATAATATCAGAAATTAAAAATGAACCAAACTAAGTGTTTCTTCATGTTACTACAACAATTAACGATAAAACAAATGAAAACGTAATACTGATTTCAAGTAATTGTTCGAAGAATCCACCGTTGACACTGCTCTTTACACAACGTTTTCTGAGATATCTTCGAGTTTGAAAGAACATATATTGGGATTACGTCCGACTTCGTTGGCAGCGATTTGTATTCTTTGCCACAAACACTTAGTTTGTTTCGCTTTTAATTTCTTGCATTATCGAAATATAGTGTTCGTTTAATCGATTTTTTTCGAAAACGGATCGAAATACCGAAATGAAACAAGAGTACATAATTAATGGAAAAATGATTGCCCTTTCAGGTTTTGAATCAAGTTTCATGTTAGACATACAGGGTAAAAAGGTATTAACTAAAATTTCGGTAAAATTGGTCGTCCTCTATGAGCAACGCTGAAATTGCAACACGCATCTTATTCGTCACTTAAAAAAATATAATTTCACAAATTTTCAAGTTCCTAACCTACATATTTTTAGAATAATCGCAAAAAAACGATTTAAAATTTTAACTTTTAACACCCTGTACTTCCGAAACTATTAACTTTCGGATAAGGCATGTTTGCGCTAATGGGCACCATTTCACGTGTAGTATCTCCAACTTTCGATTTTTCCATTGTTAATGAATCACCCTGTATACAAGTGTTGGATAAAAATATTTATTATAATATAAAGTTTTAATTAGATTTACATACTCAGAATAGAGTCAAAAATCACTCACTTGATGGTTAGCAGAAATTTGGATTTGAGTAAAATTCACTCACTCCTGTTGTTTCAATAAAATTTTAGTTGTACTCATATAATACTAATAGAATGAAAATTTCACTCAATCGGATATGGACAGAAATTGATACATTATTGAGTAAAATTGAGTAAATTCGTGTGAAACTTTTTTTAAAGTATACTTTTAATGTTGTAATAAAAGGAACGTGACGACAGACAATTTTGGTGTGTAGAAAACAGATTGCATCTTTACCCAGATCTTAAGTTCTTCCAGAAAGATTGAAAATACTACAATTGTCCCGATATGAATCTTGTAAGGATTTACGTGTAATGTTTGCACAAAATTATCCTTTATTGATTATTTAATCCTTAAAACAAATAATGAAGCGTTAAAATTTTATGGACTTATAGTAAGGAACTGTAATTTGTACTTTACATATGTAAGTTCTAGACTAGAGTCTGCAGTATTTGGTGTCTTTTTTATAACATACAAAAGATACCTGTGGAACGTGTTCAGAGAAAGTTTTTGATGTATATTTAAAGAATTTTATGTTATCCCGAGAGGACTAGAAGATATTGCGAACTATATAGTCGATTTGATGTTAATAGTTTAGAGAGTAGAAGGATTAGTATTTCAGGAAATTTTTT